GTTCCTGTCTGCGCTTGCAGGTAACTTGTATTTTATAATTAGAACTTGTAATGACTTTGCAACTTTCCTGAACAAATTTATATTAAAAGCTTTTATATATCTGGAAAGTAAAGGCATAGTTTTTCCTGCAGCGAGTGCTCAGAAATTCATGTGGCCCAAACTGGTCACAGCATTCAGGATTGCATGGTCCAACCAGTGGGAACCGCAGAAGCTTCCACTCTTGGTTGAAAGGCTCCATTAATGATATACTTCTCCCTATTGAGTCATACCATCTCTACGATCCTTTTGGTCGGCGTATTAAGCACGAAACTCGATTCAACTATGACAGAATCCCAGCTGTTGTGGAGTTGTGCATCCAAGCTGGTGTTGATTTAGCAGAATATCCTTCGAGGCGAAGGACCGAACCTATACGAATGATGGGAAGAAAGATAATCGACAGAGGTGGATTTGTTGAGGAGTGTAAACCCCGCCAATTGGTGGATTCAGTGTCGTCAATTGTGGACCTTGACACACACAGGGCTCTTGAGCGATTTCCTCCTCCTGAAGGGTCAGAGGTGCCTAGGATTGCGCAGAAGACTGTTGATGCGTACGAAAAAGTGAAATGGGGTGTCAGGAAGTTGATGAGGAAATTCACAGTGAAGGCTTGTGGATATTGTTCAGAGGTTCATGTGGGACCCTGGGGCCACAATGCTAAGCTTTGTGGGGAATTTAAGCATCAGTGGAGGGATGGGAAGCATGGTTGGCAGGACGCCACAGTGGATGAAGTGTTCCCGCCGAATTACGTTTGGCATGTTCGGGATACAAAAGGGCCTCCATTGAGGAGTGCACTCAAGAGGTTCTATGGCAAGGCTCCGGCTGTGTTGGAAGTGTGCATGCAGGCGGGTGCTCGAGTTCCTGATAAGTACAAACCAATGATGAGGCTTGATATTGTGGTGCCAGAAAGTGAGGAGGCTCGCTTAGTTGCATAAACTGGTTTATCCGCTTGAATTATCAATGTACTTACTTGATCAGACAGATAATATTGCATAATTCACACATGACTACTGCCTATCCTATCGTATCCGCAAATACTCCAATCCATTCTAGGCATACGGAAGGAATCTTACAACAAATTAATGCCTTGCCTGCCAGGGCGGGTTTGGAGAGCATAAAACTCGTCAACTAGCCATTGAGACCATAGTGGTTATTAGGGGTGTTCAAATTTTGGATTGACCGTAATTTTTTATCATACCCGATCTTACACTACTGAACGGCTAGTTGTAAAAATTGAGCAGAAACCGCAAAAATTGGGTAGAAATGCGAAAGAGTTTTTGGTCTTTCGATTAAATCAGATAAGAATAAAATACCTATCAATTTTTGCATTCCTACCCTATCCGCAAAAAATATATTTAATTTTTTTATATTTTTTTTAGTAATTATAAGAGTATTTGTGTGGTATAATTATATTATAATATTGTTATTGTTGTGGATGTTTGAATTGCGAAAACATGGACTTGTGTTTTGTGTAGGTTATATGATTTGTGGTGAACTGATGATCTATTTGAGCAGTTATGATTTTAATGTGTTTCATATGGTTTAAACTTAAAATAGTTATTATTATATTTGTGTAACAATTATAATGGATTGATGTTCATATTTTCTTATGTTTTATTGTAATTATTGTTGTAGTTTTTTTAAAATTTTAATATTATTGATTTATTATGTTGTTAAATTGATGATGTTATTTAATTAAATTGTTAAAATGATTCAAAAATTAATAGTTACAAAATTGTTTATCTTACTTCCTACCCAATTAATCGGATAGGAAATCAGATCGGAATATCACACTTGATCGGGTAAGGTAGGCCAAAAAAAAATTCTTCCTTAAAGTATTAGGTAGGAAGATGAAAGACTATATTTTTTTACCCGTAGGGTAGGGTGAACACCCCTAGTGGTTATTTTTTTCTTGAAAATCTTTTGTGAGAATTACACTCAAGTTTCTTAAAATTTGTTACTTAATCACTCGGACCATATTTAAAATTTCTGTTGTAAATATATCTATTAATAAATTATACTTAAACCTCCTAAAGTTTGTAGGCATATAATACTTAAATTCCTTAAGTTTAAAATATTATATTCAGATAAAAAATAATTCAATTAAAGATAGAATATCAAATATTTTAAATTTTTAATCAAAATTCATGTGTCTATTGTATCATTTATTGAAATAAAATTAAAAATAAAAATTTATTTTTTTCTTAAAAAATCATAATTAGTGTACAATTATACTATATATTAGAATAAAACTAAAAAATCAAACAAATGGTCTAAGTCATTTCATAATAGAACATAAATTTTACAACTAAAATTCATGTTTTATTATGTCATTTATTAAAATAAAATCAAAAATAAAAATCTAATTTTTTTATAAAAATATAATTAGTATACAATTATACTATCTATTAGAATAAAATTAGAAAATCAAACTGTAATTGACACAACATCTTTTAGTTTTAATTTAGGTAGTTTGGTATTTTAATTTGATTATATAAATGATCAAATTAAATTCTAATAGATAATATAATTGTATATTAATTAAAAAATTTTAAGAAAAATTTGAATTTTTATTGTTGATTTTATTTTAATAAATGGTACAATAGAATATAAATTTTAATTGTAAAATTTATAATCTATAATAATAAGATAGGACCAATTTTGAATCTTTTCCCACTTTAATTTAAATTATTTGAAAAAGTACAAGGACGGCTCAGATTCATTCTAATTTTAATTCAATGATTTAAATTTCATCTCAATTCTTCCAACTTAATCCAAGGCTCACATTTCATCTCACACAAACAAAAATCCCGCCCAAATCAAACCCACTCCCTACACGCTATCCCCTCTGCAGCTACTCTCCTGTTCACCAGTCACTTTGTCTGCCATGGCTCATGGCTCAACACAGCAGCAGAGGAAGTGATACCCACACCCAGACCCCTTACCCCTCTACCTAGACCCTTACACTGCTACCCACACCTCTCTCACTCCTCTGTCATGGCTCAGCTGCAGCACACAGCGGCAACATCAGCAGCAACACCAGCGTTCTCAGCCCAGGTAACTCCCTCTCCCCCTCTCTTTCGCTTAGCATTCTCAGCCCAAGCTCAGCATTTTGAAGGTTGGTTGAAGCTTTGGGTTATCAGAGATTTTTTTTTTTAATTTCCTGAACATTTTCTTCCATCTGTTATTCACGAAGCACTGATATGGGTTTGTTTCTTTCATTGATATGGGTTAATTTTCTGAACATTTTTAATTGTTTCTTTCATTGATATGGGTTTCTTTCTTTCATTCATTATCCACAAATTAATTTTTGTTGCCGCTTTGGCTTAATTTTTGTTTCTTTCTTTCATTCATTATTCGTGTTTAATAAATAAACATTTGTTTATTCTGGCGTCAACACGTACCCACTGGTGCAAAGAACGGAAGCTCCAACATGCCACACTCTTGAATTTGTTATGTAAATTTTGATTATGCTTTCGAATTTGTATAAGTTTGTTGCTTTGTAGTCAAAGGTTCCATTTTGCTAACATTATTTATTTGTGACTGTTTGAATTTGTTTCATTTGAACGTTTTTATGTTAATGCAAAGCCATGATGTTGTATTGTTTTTCTAATTCTGTTTGATAAATGGTGATTAGAAATCTTGAATTTCCTGTTCATAGAATCCAATCATAAAATTATTATTTGTGTCCATGTTCTTGAGCATTTTTAGGCACTTTTAAGAACCAGTTGAAAGATTTTATAATTGAATCATAAAATCAAATAATTGTAATCTAACACTTTTTTGTATTTTCGGTCTTAGAATCGGCATCTATACTAATAAGATAGAACCTAATTTGAATCCATTTTTACTTCAAAATTTAATCCAATTTTAATTTATTTGGGAAAGCACAAGGATGTCTCAGATTTAATCTACTTTTAATTTAATGGCCTAGATTTCATCTCAATTCTTCCAATTTAATCCAAAGGCTCACATTTCATCTCAAAATCCCGCCCGAATCAAACCCACCCCCTACACGCTACCCCTCCTGCAACTACTCTCTACTCCCGCCCAAACCCAGTCACTTCCTCTCAAACCCAGTCACTTCCTCTACCATGGCTCATGGCTCAACACTACCCAGAAACCTTACACTGCTACCCACACCCCTCTCATTCCTCTGTCATGGCTCAGCGGCAGCACGCAGCGGCGATCAACACAACGGCACACAACAGTGGCTCACCAAGCTCAGCCCAGGTACCTCCCTCTCCCCCTCTCTTTCGTTGTGATTCCTCTGCCATGGCTCATGAACACAAAAGCCAAGCAGTGTTAATAGATGAAATTGGACAAAATGTGTTGGCCCAAACCAATTACCTTCCAGTTACAGCAGTATCACTCGAACCCATCATTCGAACCTTTGATGTTTAGAGCTCTTTGGGAAATTTCGTTGAAGCTATAGTAGTTGTGGTTCATTGAACCCTCAAACACTGTGTCAAACTGAATTCACAACATTCACATCAAACCACTGTGTCAAACCGAATTCCCAAAATTCACATCAAACTAAAACTAATGGCTAATGGAGACCCACTTCGGTGTGGGGGTGTGTGTTGGTGGTGGGTGAGGGTGTGGGTGATCGTACACCGATCAGTGTTTGTGGTTGATTTCGTGAAGTGGCCGTTAGGGTGTGGTTGGACAGAGAGGGAGAGAATTGGGGCGATTACGATGTGGCTGTAAATGGCTTCCGCCGACAAAAGAGAGGGAGGAAACATGGAGAGCCGCTACAAAACCCATTGGTGAGCCATGTCGGCTTTTCGACTCTTCGGCTTTTAATCACAACCCACGTCGGCTGTATTCCTCATAACCCAATAGCAACCATGGCCATAGCCACTGCCACTGTCACCACCCCTTGACAAACCCTATCCTCTCTCAAACCCTTTTCTGTCTTCCCCATAACCCTCCCTTCAAGACCTTTTCCAAAACAGGAGGTGGCGGCAAAAGAAGAGAAGCAGAGCAAGAGAAGAGGGAGACATTTGAAAAAAAGAAGAAGAAGGAGGGATGAAGGAAGGCCGAACCCACATCATTCCACAAACCCACATCAATCCTAGGCCTCCCCAAATGTGCAAATCTTTACACGAAACTTATTCGATCTCAACTGATTCGGGTTGTAAATGGGTTAATCTTTTGTGAGATTTTGCGATTCTTTTGTGAAATTTGATGATAGTTTGAAATGGTTTTTTGGAATGAGTTATCATTTTTTTGATAACTGATTCAGGAACCAATCAGTTGAGATCATAGTTTGAAATGGGTTATCATTTTTTGGAATGGGTTATCATAGTTTGAAATGTTTGAAATGGTTTTTTGTGAAATTGATTCAGGAATGGGTTATCAGAGATATTTTTTTGATGATCTTTTGGTTTTGTTCTAGAGTGTATTGTGTTTTCAATATTGCAAAATGCTTTTTTCCTAGCCCATTAAAGTAGCCGACAGAGATTGGGAGAGCTATAAAAGAAAAGTGTTGGCCATTCATAGAATATGTTGGGGTGATTTACACATCCCTGGAATTACTTATATTTTTCATTATCTAAAAATTGAATCAGTACCCCATTTGCATGGGTCATATCTTCCCACATTGATTTTTGAATAGTTGTTGTCTATTATTTAGTAACCAACTGAGATACTATATAAATTTGTGGGCCTAGAATCTTTGCATGAATGATCATTCGTTACCTTTTAAATTTGTGGGCCACACACAACATCAAAAGTTATTTGTTCTTAAAAGAAGTTAATTTTCATACGTATTTAATGGCACAATGATGTTGTTGTGACAACTTTTGGTTGTCTTTGGGCATGTAAGTGATGCAAGAACAGTGGAATCATTTTTGGATATACTTTGTTGGTGGTTTAAGGAGTTACACAAATGTTGAGGTATGTTTCATTAAGTCGTTTAATATTGCATTGGGCTTTTTACAATAGAATTTTTTAATTATGCTGTTTATGATGAGTTAATTTTTCATATTTGGTTATAATTGTACTTCTCATTCAAAATTTGAAGGCCATTTTCTTTCTTTTCTTTTTTTTTTCCCGTATGTTCAAGGGTAGTGATTTGTACAACAAAGATTGAAATTAAAGGTTAAAGGTGTGGAATCAATTGGGTGTTTAATTGGAAAATTATGGTGCATGAATTACCATGCAAGATTAAGGAAAAACATATGTAGAGGAGATGCAGATCCTTGAACTCTGTATATCCCTGAATTTTTTGTCTATGTAAAGGCAGTGTGGTTCTTCCATTTATGTCGACGACAGCTTCAATTTTTGAATGTTTGTGTTTAATTTGGAGTGTTTTAAATTTGATTTTTTTTACAATGGGTGTTTAATTTGTGTTCTCATTCTATCTCTCTTTCACAGCAGTGGCACACACACACACAACAACAACACACAAAAACACACACACATTTGCACACAAACACACGCATTTAAATTGGGTGTCTTTTAATTTGGCTATTTCTATTAAAAGGTTTATAGTTATGATGAAATAGGTTTTTTTATTATGAACCATATCACCACAATCATCACTACATACCCAAACCACCAAAACAACCATCATTCCATACCCAAAATCATCATAACTATGTAGCATTAGTTAACTTTACAAAAGATGGAACACAAAAAATACACACATGCACAAAATAGAGAAACAACTTCATATTCTTTACAACTTAGACCAAGTATCCTTCAATGTATACCTGAAAATATTTGAAATATAAAAATTATCGAAATATTGAGTCAAAATAAAACAATTGTAAATCTGAAACATAAGACACCTTACTTTTTTCGTTAGTTGGATTCAATATAATTAATTACATTACCCTGAATTATCTAAAAAATAAATGAGCACACACATTTGTATGTAGTGGGGGGGGGAAATGATTTAGATTGATATAAGTAAGAATTTAGAGAGTTTGTAACAAATTATCAATTTATTTAGGAAAATATATGGAGGAATGTAGAGACTTACAATCAAATAAGATTTTTTTAGTATCATTTCAACAGACGGTTCATTTGCTTAATGATTTCAATCATAAATCTGTATTGGTGACAGTATAATGGTGTGTGAGTTTGATTTGTGAGTGTTTGATTGGTTACAGTTATGTGTGTGTGTTTGTGCATGTATTGTGTGTGTTGTGTGTCTACATGAGAAATAGAGAAATATAGAGAGTCTTAGTAAGAGAGACTTTCATACCTAGACAATTGTTTGGTCAATGGTGGGTTAGTCATCGTTAAAGGTGGACAGGTCGGTAATGGATTGCATATCATTTAACTCTCTTAAATGTCTTATTCATCCCTTTAAACCTTCTCTTCATCACTATCCTTAATGTCCTCGTATCAATACGAACGCACTTTGCCCAATGAGGAGAATGTACAACCACCTAAATTATTCACATAAACAATAAAATTAACACAATATTTATATTGTAGGAATAGTAAAGTTATTTTAATGCAGTGACATAAAGTAAATTTACCTGATTACGTCGGCCCCATCCACAAAGGTCCATTGTATATACACTATCGTTCTCGTTGACAAATTCACTCCAATCCTATAAAGAATGAATCTCATTGTAAAACTAAAAGTTGAAATGTTGAAAAGATTACATAATTCAGTAGAAATAAACTTGTTTAAACTATACCATTTACTTGTCGTAAGAATCTTATAACAAAACTTCTGGGTAAACAATATTTGTAGTGCAATTCGACCCATCTTCCGGAAGAAGGACTATAATACGATCCGAAGATGTGCATCTAGATAGTGCCACATAAAGGTGTCCATGACTAAAAACAGGTGTCCGCAAATCAATTCCAACGAACTTGACAGATTGTCCTTGGGCTTTATTGATTGTCATAACATAAGTTAATCGGACAGGAAACTGACGTCTTGTCATTTGAAAAGGCAAGTCCAAAGATGCTGGTGTCATTGATATTCTCGGAATGAAGACTAAATTGCCAATTTTATCTCCATTTAATATCTGAGCTTCGATTACCCTTGAGGCACATCTAACAACCATCAATCGCATGCCATTACAAAGTCCATCCTTTGGTGCAATATTTCGTAACAACATTATTGGGCATCCAACTTTCAACTCCAATTTAAACAGTGGCAACCCTGAAGGATTCAGCGAGTTTAAGTACTCATTAGGATATCGATTCCTAATGGTACGGTCAAGCTCATCACCTTCAGACATTTTATCTGCAGCTAAAAAAGTAATTGTCTCTCCCGGAGTAATATTCAGTGCTGCAGCATTTATATCACTGACGTCGTCATTACGCGCAGAGAGAATTGTGCGTTCAGTGAGAAAGGTTGGAGTCACTATACCAATCACATCCAATTGTGGATAGATTCTAAATATCAATTCATTTAGATTGTGACACCGGTTTATTGTAGATGGAAGTTGCACAATTTCATGTGGATTGGTCCCAATCTAAAAAATGAAAGTATAATTAGTCACAAAGTGAGATTTAATTCAAAGCATCATATTAAAAAATTTAACAATTCAAGGTGGAATGAAATATTACCTCCATCAAGAATTTAGCAAAATTAGTATTTCGAACGTCAGTGCGAGTTAATCGCATGTTTAAACCCAGAGTCAAAACACATATCTTTCCATAGCAAAGACCGTCTCAATGATGCACCCACAATTTGCTCACGAACGCCTTTAGGAATAACAGGCAATATTTGTCGAAAGTCTCCACCCAGGACAACAGTGATACCCCCAAAAGGTCTTTTATCGTCTCTGATATCTTGAAGGGTGCGATCGACTGCCTCAACACAGTATCGATGCTGCATAGGAACTTCATCCCATATTATCAGCTTTGTTTTTCTAAACAATTTGGCATGCATTGATTGTTTAGTGAACCCACATATTGAATTGTCTAGGGTTTCCAAAGGAATACAAAATGTAGAATGTGCAGTGCGCCCCCTACCAATAACAACGATGCAATACCAGATGAAGCCACAGTAACAACAACATGTCCATAGCTACGCAATTTGGTTGCAATGGTATTGTACAAAAACGTTTTCCCGTCCCAGCACCTCCACTCAAAAAAAAAGTAGTTGCTATGTTTTCACATACTGACGTTGTGACAGCAGTATAAGCAGCAAGTTGTGCATCATTAAGGCCGTCAACATTAATTTGTGCATCAGACTGTTGTGCTTCATTCTGAAGTTGTTGATGCTCAAACAGTAATCTATTTCTAACTATTGCATTCCAATTTCCAATTGGTTGTGGCATGGGTGAAAAGTCAACTAAACTCTTCCCCGACTCATGGAGCAATTGATTCATCAAATATAAGTCATAATCTTCAATATGATCATCAGTTGGATTCAAAATACCAAACATAGTACGAATCTGTGTGCTAAATCATCACATATATGT